TTTTTTAAAAAAGTTAAAAATTAATTTGGTTAAGAAATAAAAAAATAATAAATAATTAGCATTTTATATAATTTTATTGTTGAGCGGTTAGAAATAATTTTTACAAATTTAAATATATTTTTATTAAATTAGTTTCACTTTTTCAAAAAACATATTTTGAAATTTTTTTCTAAACAACAACTCAAATATAGTTCAAAAAACTTAGGTAGCATTTGGTTTAGAACTCAAATTATGATTTGAATTAAAAAAATTTAAAACTTATAACCAAACTCTTTTCAAAACTCTTTACAAAACTCGATTTAAAAAAATAAATTCAAAAATATATCGATTACACATTAAAAACCTAATAATCATTTATTACATGATAATCATTCAAAAATATCTGTAAACAACAAATACGACCGTCTATTCCATGATAAACATCTAAAAATATCAACAAAAAAGTCACTCATTACATCATCATTATCCAAAACATATTAAAAATTAATTTGATAAAAAAATAAAAATTTAAAAATATTCCAAAAAATTTAAAAATAATACAGTGCACAAATGTAGTAATTACAACGCAAATTAAAAAAAAAAAATATTTACAATAAAAAATATTTACCCTAAAAAAATAAAATTAAGAATTTTTTTTAAATATTAAAAAATATAAACCCAAAAAATTTCAAAATACAACCCAAAAGTCAAAAGTCAAAACTAAATAAATTTTTATTTTTAAAATACAAATTATGATTCAAAAACTAAACCAAAAGGAGTCTTTTTAGCCTGTGTTTGGCAAGTGGATTTGTAGGTTTTTTTGGCTATTTTAGCCACAAAAAACAAAATAGGCTAAAATATTCCAAAAAATTTAAAAATAATACAGTGCACAAATGTAGTAATTACAACGCAAATTAAAAAAAATAAATATTTACAATAAAAAATATTTACCCTAAAAAAATAAAATTAAGAATTTTTTTTAAATATTAAAAAATATAAACCTAAAAAATTTCAAAATACAACCCAAAAGTCAAAAGTCAAAACTAAATAAATTTTTATTTTTAAAATACAAATCATGATTCAAAAACTAAACCAAAAGGAGTCTTAGAGTTCATTTGGGAAGTGATTTGGATTTTTGACTTTTTAGCTTTTTAGCTTGGGGCTAAAAAGTCTCGTTTAGGATAGGCTTTTTACCTTTTTTTAGAGAAATAATGTAATGATCATGGATTAGATGTAACATTTTGTCTTATTATGCTAAAAAATCTATTTTATCTTTTTGTAACTAAAGTAGCACCAAACCCAACCCAACCCAAGTTGCCAAATGAAAGCTTAATTTCTTTTTCCATCTAACGTAATTATTTTGTAAATTTTGTTAGCTTATCAAAGGATTTCAGGTTGTTCAATTATTTGGAAAGGTACTAGGGGTAATATTGTCCGTCAAGAAGAATTCTTAATGTTTATTTACCAGCAGTGGGTAAATTTTTATGTGAATATAAATTTCGGGGGCGAGATGTAATTTCTGAAATCTCAAGAAAAAATCTGTAATTTAGTTAAACCTCAAGGGGTGTAGGTAATTTGTCCAAAAATTAATATGTATTTACAAATAATTTTTTTATTTTATTTTATGAAAAAACATGAATTATCAGAGTATATGATAGGGCTGGAAAAAAAAAAAAAAGATAAAGATAAAGAAAAAGAAGACTAAGGTCTCGTTTGGGAGCAAATCTTTTTAGCAACTTTTTACTTTTTTGGCTAAAATATGATGTAAAAAAACTAATATATTTGGGATAATTTTTTGATTTTTTACGAAAAGATGTGCAAAAAGTAGAGAGAAAATATTTTTTTTGACTTTTTGGTATATGTTGTTGATTTTTTGATTTTTTTAGTACCTGTTTGGGAGGTGGGTTTGGAGTTTTTTGGGGCTAAAATAGCCACAAAAAACAAAATAGGCATTTTAGCTGAATAAGACAAAACATCACATCTAACCCATAATCATTACATTCTTTTTCACACAAAAAGTTTAAAAAGCCAAAAAAATCAAAAGACCTTTCTAAACCAAGTTTTTTAGCCCCAGACTAAAATAGTCAAAAAAGCCAAAGAACCAACCCACTATCCAAACCAAGCCTTAGTGACTTTTTGGCTTTTAGGTTAAAAAGTGATGTTGCCAAACGAGGCCTAAGTACTCGTTTGAGAAGTTGAGGTTTGGGGCTTTTTGGCTAAAATAGTCACAAAAAAAACAAAATAGATTTTTTAGTCCAATAAGACAAAACGTCACATCCAATCCATAATCATTACATTTTTTCTCTCACAAAAGTCAAAGAAGCCAAAAAACCATCACAAACGAGGTTTTTTAGCCCCAAGCTAAAAAAGTCAAAAAGCCACCCACTTCCTAAATGAACCCTTAAGGATTTGTTTGGGGAGAATTTTTTTAGTTTGGTTTTTTGATTAATATAGTTTGACCGAGAGGTTGTTTGGAGTGTTTTAAATAGGTGTACTTTTTGACTTTTTATGAAATATGGGTTGGATTTGAAGTGATGTGATAGAGAGGTGATGTGAGTTAAATAAGATGGTGTGACTGAAATAGGATATTGATTTTTTGACTTTTTAACTTTTTAAGAGGATGCAAACCTAGCCTAAATTAGTTTTGTTTAAAAAGAACTTTTTTATTTTTTGTGAAAAAAAAATAAAATAATTATGATTTGGTTGTGACATATTATAGTCTTTTAGGAAGTGCATTTTTCGTTTTGGTTTTGATTTTGATTTTGGTTTTGATTTTGGTTTTATTTATTTATTTTAGTCGTGAACCTTTTAAAAAAAAATTCAAGAAGTTTTAGGTCCCTGAATTCAGCTCGATAAGATGAACAGGAACATTATAATTTAAAAAAAAAAAAGGGAAAATTGGTCTAGGGAAGACAAAAATAGACTTATTTTTATTAAATTTTTTTTTAAAAAAATTTAGGTTCGTTTCAACAAGACAAATCGGAAAATTAACAAAATTTGATATAATTTTGAAAAAAAAATTACTAAAGACAAAAAAATTAAAAAAAAAAAGTTTCCCTCTCTAAACATATATCTGCTCCTATTACGTTTTTTCATTTACATCTAAAATCTCAACTTCACACTCTCTCTCCTCCAATGGCCTCTCTCTTTTCTCCCTAAAATCTGCTATCGTTCATGGAGGCGCCGGCGCATTCTCCGACTGGAACGAAGAAGCTTGGAAACCATTCTGAGCGACGGAGTTCACTACACAGTCTCAGCAGTGTAGTCTTCTTCGGATCGCCAGCAAAGCAGAGGACGGCGACGGTGACGGCAGCGGCGGCGGCGGCGGCGGCAGAGATGGGGCCACCAAAATCCGGCCGTTCAATTTCGCAACAAGCCTTCGACGAAATGGTGAAAGAGAACATCGATTAGTGTGGGGCTAAATAATCACATATGGACAAAAAAAAAAACTACAAAATCATTAAATGCTAAAACACTTGAGTTGAGATACAAAATTACCAAACTGACCCATATACAAACAAAAAGTCAAAAAAAATATCATTTTCAAGTGAAGGGCAATTTTGTCATTTCACTTTTGACACATCATTTCCAATGTAAAAAAGTTAAAAAAACCAAATAAGAAGATCAAATAAACAAAAAAGTCACAGGCTAAAAATATTAAAAAAGTCAAAAAAAACTAACTAAAAAAATAATTGCCAAATGAATCCTTAATTTGTTTATTTTTTTAACTTAAAAGTTAAGTAACCCAACGAGGTTTTATTTCAATTTGTATATCGTTTTCTTGGATGGTGGAGCTTTTTTTTAAAAAAATAAAAATAAAAAAATTACCAAATCACTTATTCAATTGAGTTTTTAAAGGCCATCTTTGAAAAGTTGGCTATTTTAATTAGTTTTTTAATTTTTTAATTATTTTAATTTGGCTAAAGAAATTGTGTTTGAGAAATTAGTTGACTTTTTTTTTTAGTTAATTTGATGATTGTGAGAGAAAAAATGAAATGATTATAATTTAAATGTGATATTTTATCTTATTAGTTATTTTGGTTTATTTTATTTTTATTAGCTATTTTAACCTTTAACCTCCTTACCAAACACTCACAAAATTGGGCAAATAATAGTTTGATCTTACGTGGTTTATCGAAAAAATGTGAAAACCCCTTAAAATTTCATTTGTAACACTTAAACCTCTTGAATTTCATATCACATTGTAATTTTTGATGAAACTATTTGTTTTAATAGAGCATCTATTGTGACCATAAAAACAAAAAAAAAATTCAAAACAGTCAACCACATTGGATAATTCTTTATGTTCTCCTTTTTCCTAAATTTTAAAAAACCAGAGACATTGGGGATATTTGATGGGAAGGAGGGGTACCTGCTGTGAAGAATCCATAGCCATGACTGCTGTGACGTAAAACGCCACCGTTTTAATGTTTTTTTTTTTAATTAATCTGAGGGTTTATTAATTCATCATTAATTCTTTCACTATAACAAAACAAAACAATAAACCCAACAGGGACGGAGCCATCTTCTGGGTCCCGCGGTCCTGTAAAGTTGAAGGAGGTGAGTTTGTGTTAAAAAAAATTTATTTTATAAATAGAAAATATAATAAAATAAAAATAATTCATGGAACAAATCAATTTATGAAACCAAATTATATTTTTTTAAAAAAATTAGTTTTAAAATTAAAATCAAACAAACCATACATGTTTTGACTTTTTCAAAACTGACTTAAATGCATCAAAAGTGAAATTAAAAGGGCAAAAAATTGTATTTGAACAAATCAATTTATCAAACCATAAGCAAAAAAAATGTAACTTCAAAAAAAAAAAAAAAAAAAAAAAAAGAAGTTTTTTAAAAATAAATAAAAAAAAAAAACCAACTTAAGGCCCAAATATATTCAATTAACATCCAACATCTATATAAAAAAAATAAAACAAAATTCTGAGACATTTAAACTTCAAAATCTCCTACCAAATATCCCAAAATCTGTCTCAACCGTTCTAAATTATCCAAACAAAATTCTAAAAACCTTCATGACCAATAGTCTAAATAAGTTGTTAAATTTATCAATACATTACACAATTTATAAAAAAAATAATAATAAAAAAAAATAAGTAACATAAAACAATAGCTAACCTGTTGTTGGCTTGAGGATGAATTTTGAACATTTGTAGTGTTGCTTGATTGACCAATAGTCTAAATAAGTTGTTAAATTTATCAATACATTACACAATTTATAAAAAAAATAATAATAAAAAAAAATAAGTAACATAAAACAATAGCTAACCTGTTGTTGGCTTGAGGATGAATTTTGAACATTTGTAGTGTTGCTTGATTGACCAATAGTCTAAATAAGTTGTTAAATTTATCAATATATTACACAATTTATAAAAAAAATAATAATAATAATAAATAAATAACATAAAACAATAGCTAACCTGTTGTTGGCTTGAGGATGAATTTTGAACATTTGTAGTGTTGCTTGATTGACCAATAGTCTAAAGAAATTCAAAAAGTTATCAATACTTTACATAATTTATAAAAATAAATGCATGTCATTTGAAATTTCAAAAGTACGTAGGTAATACCTTACTAAGGCGGGTAGGTTGTGAAATAACTTTTGTCTTCTTATTCATCATCTCATGCCAAGGTTTTAATCTACCCCTCCCTTTGTGTCCAACATCTTTCTTCTTTATGCCCTTAACTTGTGTAATGTTGGGGTCGTCCACATCTAATTCATTGGTACCAAAACTTCCAACTCCCTTCATCATATTATTTACTTTTACACACAATTCCTTAATTCCTTCATCAACCAATTGATAGGCAGGTTTGTGCATAGATGCTTGAGTTGCTAGTTTCACCATTCTTGGACAAAGATCTCTATAACGTGCTAATATTAACAACTTCGGATCATCCTCATCCACTACAACATTTTTCTCTTCAACTTCACAATCTTTTGCATCCAATCTCCATCGGCCTAATATATACCTTTCGGGAATTTTCATAACATTCATTCTATCAAGTGCTTTGATTGCATGACTACATAAAATTCCAAAGTTCTCAAATTTCTTACAAGTACAATGTATTTCTTGACAGCTTTTTTCTCCTCTTAGCCCAATAACTTCCACCCTACCCTCCACAATATACTCTTTACCATTACCATACAAGCCAATCACGCACTTAACTTCTCCTTCTAACTCATGGAATTGCTTCACTTGACAACAAAGGGACGTATCCAACTCACAATGAAATAAATCAAAGATAGGAGGGGTGTACAAACTCGCAACTTGGATTAAAATGGGAGACTTTTTCAATTTCATTCTTGGCAACTTTTGTCTAGAATCATATATTGCGGAAATTTCCTCATACCGCTTATCTACAACAATCCGATTGAAGTGAGTAAAGAATTGAACAATGTTATGATCACCCTTCAAATATCCCCTTAATGTTCCATTTAGACTTTCACTAAGTTGTGTGCTTCGCATTCCTCCAGTAAATACCCACTTCATATACACATGCGCCCACTGCTCTCTTTTTCTCCAAGTTCTTTTCATCCACTCATTCTCTTGCATGTTGTATTTATCAATCAAAGAATTCCAAGCTTCAATTAATTCATGCTCATTCTCGTAGTCATAAATGCAAGCTTTTAAATCACTACTAAATTTTGAACCACTCTTGAACAAGTAACCTAAATGCTTCAAAGTATTTTGCATTAGGTGAAAAGTGCACAACTCATGAAAAACCTCAGGCATGATTTGTGAAATTGCCTTAGCCATTGCTTGATCTTGATCTGTGAAAAAACTAACGGGTTTTTTTCCTGACATTGCATCCAAAAATGTTTCAAATAACCATTCAAATGACTCTGCAGTTTCATCATATAATAATCCTGCACCAAAAATCACTGTCATTCTAAAGTGGTTAAAGCCACAAAATAAAGCAAGTGGACGGTACTCCTTATTTGTTCGAAAAGTTGTGTCAAATGACACCGCATCACCAAAAAGTCCATAATCTGTTATCATCTGATGATCAGCCCAAAAAATACTAGTAATCATCTCATCTACATCCAACTGAATGGCATTGTAAAAATATGGATTTTCTGCCACTTGCTGCTGGAAATATCTTAACAAACTCCCCGCTTCACCATACTGCAAGTTTCGCTGTCTTTTTGCACGTAAGTAGGTTTTCTGATCCTCTCGTGTGAACCCTACAACTTCCATCCTGCTATAGCACTAATAAGATCATGTGAAGCCTTAAGAGATATTCCACTCTCATCAGCTATGTCAATATTTATACCCTGAGCATCACATACCTTTCTCTGAGATGGCATCAAATGAGTACATTGAGGAAGATGCAAAGGGTGGTTGTGGTTGCTATCAAACTTCGACACAATCCACTTCGACAAGTCCCGCGGCTTTACAATTTGTTCTTGTCTCACTTCGAGGATTTTTTATCATCGTGTACCGTTTATCTTTTTCCCTCTCTCCCTCCTTACAACAAACAAACTTTCTACTAGTCATAACACCATCTTTCTGACTTTTGTTACAATAATCTCTTCTAATACTAAACCCCACAATTCTTCCGTATTCATTATAAAACTCATATGCAGTTTCTTTTGATGGAAACTCCATACCATGATATGGTGATTTATCCTTGGCCAACTCTCCCATTTCTTCGATGCATCCCTCAAGTCCACCATCATCCATTATACTATCCTCCATTTCAACACTAACAAATATGAAGAAAAAAAATTAAACCCTCAAGTCCACCATCATCCATTATACTATCCTCCATTTCAACACTAACAAATATGGGGAAAAAATATATATATATATATATATTAAACGAAACAAGAATCTGAGCAAAAAAGTTATTAATTAATTTTAAATGCTGAGTAATTAAACAATTCAATGAAATCTAATAAATCAATTAATAATGTAAATTAATTAAAAGGATAGGGGGAGAGGAAAAAAAGATGTGTAATTTGTACAGTAACATTGGAAATTTATTGTATCTGAGTAGATTATAATATACAATTGCAAAATTATATTAGAATTAGTATATTATATAATACAGAGAATCTTTTGGCAGACACGCTTAAAGATGTGAATCATATGCCCTCTTATTATATAAATTTTTGATATATGTTTTGTATTTTTGTTACAAATGTTATGTCATCATTTATTGAGTTATAACAATTTATGATTAAAAAATTAAATTCGCATTTTATAGTAAGATTATAGATTTTTTTATTGAAACTTTTTTTAGACCACAAAATGCATAACATTATTACAAAAATAACTAACATTATTATAAAAATGTGTAACATTTCCACAAAAATACATAACATTGCTATAAAAAAATAATTATGAATTACAAATTATATATCGTAACTCCTTAAAAAAATTATATAATATTTATACAAAAATACATAATATGTACAAAACAAATTACATAATAAAAAAAAATTTCTTATAATATACAATTGTGTTTCTCAATCCATTCACAAAAAACAAACCAAACTATTATACTTGTTCAACCCACTAACATACTGCACAAAACAAAATACAAAACATATATACATATAATATATATAGATATACATACCAGTTTGTTGAACAATAATGGTCTGTAAATCCAGCAGAAGAACGGTGAAGCAAAAATAAAGAACACTGTTCAATCTGTTTGAGAGAAGACAAAAATGTTAGAAAATAAAAAAATAAAAAATAAAAACTAACTTTTAGAAAATAAAAAAATAAAAAATAAAAACTAATTTTTCAATCCATGTCAATAGAGACTTTTGCTTACTGTGAAGATGGCGGCGGCCCTGTACAAAAATGTTTTGGCAGACAAATAAACAAAAAATAAATAAAAACTAACCTTTCAATCCATGTCAATAGAGAACCTTTGCTTACGGATTAGACGGCGGTGGCCCTAGGTTTATTGTTTTGTTTGTTATAGTGAGAGAAGAATTAATAAATCCTCAAATTAATTAAAAAAAAAAACATTAAAACGGTAGCGTTTTACGTCACAGCAGTCACGGCTGTGGATTCTCCACAGCAGGGACCCCCAATCCATTTCAAACAGTTTCTGATTCTAACAACTTATTTTAAGTCAAAAAAGTTGATTCTGAGACTCTGCTCACCCTTTGCTTCTGATTATCAGGTTCTGCTATGGACATGTTAATTCACGGTTATATTCTTAAATTTTTTTATTTTTTATTTTTTTAAAAATAGAAAAGACCCAAATGGATTATAAAATATTATTATTATTTTTTATGAGAAATATAGACAAATAGTGAATAATAAAAAATAAAAGTTAATTGAAAAAGCTACTTTACAGCTTATTTAACAAATATTACTCAGCAATTTAAATCTATAATCCAACAACTATACCAAACAGATTAACAGCTTATGATTAAAGTCATAATCTATAATCTGTTAAGCTATAATCTATAATCTATTTTAACAGCTACACCAACAGCACCATTGCTCTCACTAACTTTATCTCCCTCATTTTTCCATTTTTCTTTTTCTTTTTGTTTCCTTATTCTTCTAAAATCCATAAAGTTAACCCATAAATTAAATTTATTTCCCTTCATTTTTGTTTCATTATGCTTTTGAAATCCATATCTATCATTTTCTTAATTCAAATATAACTAACCCATAAATTAAATTTATTTACAAAATTTTTGTTCAAAATAAAACAATAACCTTCAAAAATTATTTTCAACACACAATTGATTATGTATTAAACCTTAAGATTGTTAGGAAATTATGTACAATTGACTATGAAAAAACCTTAAGGGATTCCTGGTTTTCAACCAAAACAGAGTAGGAAAAATGCAAATGAGTAGATGTCTGGGCGGATGTCTCTCTCTCTCTCTCTCTCTCTCTCTCTCTCTATTTCTCTGTATCTTCTTTCTTATATACTCTCTTTCGATTTGGCAAAAAGTGTTGGCCACAACTCTATAGCTGTCTCGCTTTGCTTTGATGATTTGGGCAAAGAATTGTTGCAGACCCATGTCGCGAAAGATCTGACTCGACATTTGAGACCTCGCAATATGAACTGGGTGGTGTAGACCCGTGACCAAGAAGGGCTGAGAGTTATGCGTTATAGACTCGTATGGCTTGAATTTGGTAATATTGTCTGTGATGCAGAGAGAGAAGCAAGATGTGGCGCAGAAGGTGATTCGTGGGATGTATTTTCGGGCGATCTAGGCCGTTCAAGAAGATTATTCGAGGTTTTTGGTGGTGATGGTGGTGGTGGGGAAGTGGAGGATGGGGAGGTTGATGTAGGGAGGTAGTGAGTGGTGGTGGATGGAGGAGTGGAAGCAAGAGAGGTTGAGAGGAGTGGTGAGGATTGAGCTTGGCTAGGTCTAGCATGGGGATTTGGTGGCATGGTGACATGAAGGGGAAGCAGAATATACGGAGTTGCTACTGGGTTGATGTATTTGGTGCCATGGAGGGAGAAAGATAGATGATAATGTTTGGTTGGAAGGAAAGTGAGATGGTTTTGATGTAACAACCCTTACTTTATCTTAGTCATGCTCGCATGCATTCACATGAATTTGTCTTATTAAGTTTGCATCTTCAGACCTTGATTCGTTTTGTCTAAGTGTTACTTGCATGTTTTGTTTCTTGCTTTGTGTGTGTAGCCGATGTCATCTTAAGCTTAGGTTACACCTTTGAACCTCATACACCTAGGACCATCTTGGAACCACTTTGGTTGACCTCCACCTTCACCCTGGCATATTAGCCGAGATGTCATTATCTCTCTCTCTCTCTCTCTCTCTCTCTCTCTCTCTCTCTCTCTATTTCTCTGTATCTTCTTTCTTATATACTCTCTTTCAATTTGGCAAAAAGTGTTGGCCATAACTCTATAGCTGTCTCGCTTTGCTTTGACGATTTGGGCAAAGAATTGTTGCAAACCCATGTTGCGGAAGATCTGACTCGACATTTGAGACCTCGCAATATGAACTGGGTGGTGTAGACCCGTGACCAAGAAGGGCTGAGAGTTATGTGTTATAGACTCGTATGGCTTGAATTTGGTAATATTGTCTGTGATGCAGAGAGAGAAGCAAGATGTGGCGCAGAAGGTGATTCGTGGGATGTATTTTCGGGCGATCTAGGCCGTTCAGGAAGATTATTCGAGGTTTTTGGTGGTGATGGTGATGGTGGGGAAGTGGAGGATGGGGAGGTTGATGTAGGGAGGTAGTGAATGGCGGTGGATGGAGGAGTGGAAGCAAGAGAGGTTGAGAGGAGTGATGAGGATTGAGCTTGGCTAGGTCTAGCATGGGGATTTGGTGGCATGGTGACATGAAGGGGAAGCAGAATATACGGAGTTGCTGCTGGGTTGATGTATTTGGTGCCATGGAGGGAGAAAGATAGATGATAATGTTTGGTTGGAAGGAAAGTGAGATGGTTTTGATGTAACAGCCCTTACTTTATCTTAGTCATGCTTGCATGCATTCACATGAATTTGTCTTATTAAGTTTGCATCTTCAGACCTTGATTCGTTTTGTCTAAGTGTTGCTTGCATGTTTTGTTTCTTGCTTTGTGTGTGTAGCCGATGTCATCTTAAGCTTAGGTTACACCTTTAAACCTCATACACCTAGGACCATCTTGGAACCACTTTGGTTGACCTCCACCTTCACCCTGGCATATTAGCCGAGATGCCATTATCTAGGCCGAGGTGTTCATCACTAAGGCCGAGATGTGTATTATCTAGGCCGAGATGTTATCCTTTCACCTAAGTGATCTTGTTCCTGGACTGGAATGACCTAGACCGAGGTGTGGCACATCTAGGTCGAGGTGTGGCACAGCTAGGCCAAGTGTTATCCTTCCTAGCCGAGTTCATTGAGACCCCTTTTACTGGAGCCGATGTTATAACCCGAGATCCTCGCCTTACCAGAGTGCCCTTGTCACCTTACTTGTTATACACACTTTATCATGCTCTTGTCTTGTCATTCAGTCATCTTTTTGAGGAAACCCAATCCGGTGGTGCCATGTGTCCCAGCAGAGGGTTAAGTCTGCTGGCAGTAGAGAAAGCATATCATTTTGTCATATCTTTTGCATGGTAGAGAGAGAAGCTCTAGGAAGAGAGGTAGATGAGTTCTTGAGAGAGAAGTAGATTTCCAAGCTTGATCCTTAGAGTCTAAACCGTTTGATCCGAGTGTTGAGGTTAAATTCTTGATTTACTCTTGTTAATTTTTATGTTTATTCGATCGCATTGCATGATCTAGCATGATTCATGAGCCATGCATTGGTTTAAAGTTGTTTTAGAAAGAGAAAACGATGTTCTTGTGTTCTTAAATATAAAACCATGTTTTGATCTGAAAGTTTGTATCAAGATCTATGTTTTTGTGTTTGTTTTCATAAGATCTTCAAGTATGGGTACCCAGGTCCATGTTTTCGAACTCATCTCATGAAATTTCAGATTTTGAATAAACAAGTTATGATTTTAGCATTAATGTTCTTTATGTTCTTCATGTTCATGTTCTTCATGATCTTCAATGAAGGAAACCCAGATTTCCAAACTTCACCTTTCCCTAGGTGTGGTCACTGATAGGAATGGCAACGGGGTGGGGCGGGGCCGGGGACCACCCTCCTGGTCCCCGATCCCCGATGGCCAAAACTTCCCCGTCCCCGGCCCCGATCCCCGACGAGGAACCTGTCACAGTCCCCATCCCCGTCCCCAACGGGGA